GGTTAGTGTAAGAGTATGTGTTAGGTTTAGGGCCCCGCCGTCACGTGCGCCGCGCGCTCCCGGCCCCTCCTCCAGCGCCCGGCCCCGCCCCCACCGCCGGAGACCAGGCCCCGCCCCCAGCTCCGCCAGCTCCCGGCCCCGGCTCCCAGGCGCCCCTCAGTCCCGGACCCTGAGCGCCAGGCACCGACTCGCCCCTCCTCCAGCCCCCTGGTCACGCCTTCTTCCCCGCCCCTGAGCTCATGGCCCCACCCCAACCGCCTGGTCACGCCTTCGGACCTCGCGCCCGGCTCCGCCCCTCCATGCCCCGCCCCCACTATCACCGCCTCCGCAGACACACCCCACTCCCCACCCCAAGCCGGGATGGGGTCGCCAGATTTAGCAAGTGAAGGTACCGGACGCTCCGTTAAATGTGAATTTCAAATAAACGGAGAGCTGTTTTTTGTTTTTGGCTTTTTTTCGAGAGTTGTTTTTAAGTCTAAGTATGTGTCATACCTGAAATGCAAATTTAATGGGACATACTTAGACTTCAAAACGATCCGCTGTTTAAATGAAATTCACATTTTATTGCGCGTCCTGTGTTTTCTCTGGCAACCCTACCTGCGGCTTCAGAGGGTCTGCAACGCTGACCTTGACTTCTTAATATGATATTTTAACTCATAAAATGTAACAAAACGCCCGCACAAACTCAGATGTGTTACCGAGGTAAATTTTAGAGCGTTCAGGGATAACTTCTCCGCGCACCTAGGAAATAAAGATTCCTACGGCTTGTTTGCTCAATATAACAGCAGACCTGTTTTTTCAATGCTATTCCTAATTGTTTTATGCATATCAAGATTTTCTCTGAACTGTGTGACCAAAACAGAAAAGAAAGGAAGTGGACCACAGAGCGGACTTGAGTCAGCATCCGTCATCCGTTGGCCTGGAAGGTCAAATTCTCACGTTCCAGGCCACCTCATTCTTATGTGTGATTGTTAAATGTGGAAATGATATGATCTAAACACAAACTACATTTATAGCAATGCAATCCTCTCTCTGCCCTTTACATTGTGAGGTTCTGTGTAAGATTTTGTCTGAAAAGAGCTTTGTTGTTTTTGTTTCAGACAAGGGTTAGAAAACCCTGGTTAAGATGATCCAAACCAAAGGGCCCCTGGACGAGGCACTTGTCCCCCCTCCCCATTCATTCTTCCTGCCTTCCTTCATTAACATTTGCTGGGCTTCTGCTCAACACCAAGCCCTGGAGACAAAGCCAAGCCCGAGTGCCACTGGGTCTGCGTTCCAGGAGAGAGACACAAAACAAATAAACAAGTAAGGTGAAGTTAAGTGCTATAAAAAGCAGTAAAGAAGGGCGGGAGGAGGGGGCTGTTGCACACAGGGGGTCAGGAAGGCCTCTCTGAGAAGGAGACCGTGGGTGAGGGAGGTGAGGAGAGGCAAGCAGCCCAGGCAGAGGAACTGCATGTGCAAAGGCCCTGAGGCAGAAGAGGTGAGCGTGTTGGAAGGACAGCAAACCAGGGGAAGAGAAGACGCCGGAGAACCTTGAGGGGCCATCGCCACCCTCCAAGACACAGTAGGGCTCAGGCAAGGGGTGGGCGGTGGTGCTGGTGAGAAGGATTAGACTTCGGGTATGTAAGAAGGTAGGACACATGGTGGATTAAATCCAGGGTATGCGACAAAGAGGTCACATTTGCCTGCCGGGCTTTGGCCGGAGCAGCTGGAAGAAGGAAGCTGCCCTTGGCTGAGATGAAAGACTGTAGGGGAGGGGATGGGAGAGCAGTGCAGAGGTGAGAGTGGAGATCAAAGTTGCCCTGGCCCTGTTGAATTCCAGAGACCTTTTCAACATCTGCGGTTGGTGTTGGGCTACTGGTTGCCTGTGTGAAGCTGGGGCTCAGATGGTAAGTCGGGGCTGGTTGAGGTCCCCACAGGAGGAAGCGAGAGGGCTGGCCACATGCTGAGCCCTGGGCCTGTGGCTGCAGGGCTGAGGAGAGGAGGGGACCAGAGGAGCAGTGGCGGGGGGGTGGGGGGAGAAGGCAGAAGAATGTGTGGAGATCAAGACGGAACAGCCAGTGGATTTGGTCTGGGGGGGGTGGCTCATCACCCCCCCGCCCCGCCTTCAGGCTGGGAGGGATGGCCACGAAGTCCTATGGTGATTGTTGAGCAAACAGACCAGGATCTGGTCATGCAGTTGGCAAAGATGGTCAAGGCCAGGCTGGCGGGAAGGAGTCTAGGCCTCACCTGCACACCTGCTTCACTCTTCTAGGAGGGGCTTAGCTTTTTTTTTTCTTCTTTAATTTATTTATTTGTTTGTTTTTATTTTTGGCTGCGTTGGGTCTTCGTTGCTGTGCGCAGGCTTTCTCTAGTTGTGGTGAGCAGGGGCTACTCCGCTGCGGTGCGGGGGCTCCTCATTGTCGTGCCTTCTCTTGCTGTGGAGCACGCAGCCTTCGTAGTTGTGGTGCATGGACTCAGTAGTTGTGGCTCGTGGGCTCTAGAGAGCAGGCTCCGTAGCTGTGGCACACCGGCTCAGTAGTTGTGGCTCACAGGCTTAGTTGCTCCACGGCATGTGGGATCTTCCCGGACCAGGGCTCGAACCTGTGTCCCCTGCATTGGCAGATGGATTCTTAACCACTGCACCACCAGGGAAGCCCGAGGGTCTTAGCTTTTGAACACTGTCTTGGGCTGCTCAGGCTGCCGTAACAGAACACTGCAGACCAGGCAGCTTAAACAAAAGACACTTATTTATTTCTCACGGGCTGGACGTCCGAGATCAGGGTGCAGGCATTGTCAGTTTCTGGTGAGGACTCACTTCCTGGCTGGCAGATGGCCGGCCGCTTCTCGCCTGTGCTCACCTGGCCCTTCCTCTGTGCTGTGTGTGGACAGAGGAGCGGGGGGCTTTCTGGTCTCTTCTCGTAAGGTCACTAACCCCATCGTGGGGGCCCCACCCTCATGACCTCATCAAACCCTGATCACCTCCCAAAGGTACCTCTTAACACCATCCCACTGGGGCTTAGGGCTTCAACATAGTTATTCTGGGGGGAACAAAATTCAGATCTTAGGAGACACTCAAGACCACTTGGAAGGACCATTCCCCTTCCCTCCCCAGGTTCAAGTCCCACTGTCACTCACAGCTCTTTCTTTAGGCCTTGTGTCCCCATCCAGACACTGAGGGGGTTGGAGGGGAGGTCTCTGGGGCCCCTGCTCTCTGGGGCAGCCAGTGGGCCTATGTGCTGCTTTAGCGCAGCGCTGGGAGGCTGCACCCTAAAAACAACGCCACGGTTTCTCAAATCCAAAGGGCCTCTGGCCCTAGAACACACGATTGATTTAATGACATGTTCTTAGGAAAAGCATATGCCTTGATTGTACAATGCAGCCAAATGCAGAAACAGTCAAATGCGGGGGTGGGGTTGTGTCTGAGGAGGGTGAAAACTTACGAGGATTAGCCAGGCCCTGCTGCCCTGCTGAAGCCCGGTGCCCCTCTTCAAGTCAGCTCCTCCTCCCTGCTGGAGAGCCACCTGAATTTCGGGGCGCTGAGACCCACCCCAGCAATTGTATGTGCTGCTAGTGGGGCGGCACGTATCACAGACAATTCTCAGATTTGTGAGACGCACTCTGAGTTCAAAGGGATTGAAATGTCGGGAAGTTTTGCATCTTAGAGCTGATGAAATGAGAGATTGCTATTCCTGTTTTACAGAGGGGAAAACTGAGGCTCGGAGAGCCGAGTGCCGTGGTTGAGGATGCATGGAACGTATGTGGCAGAGGGACTCTCAAACCCGGCTGCTCCCAACACCTGGAGGGCCAGCCCGTTCTGACGCCGGTGACAAAGGCAGAACCCCCTTCCCAGCCCTGAGTCTCCTTCCTGGTCATCATCCTGGTCATGCCAGCTAGTGTCCGGCTGAATGGACATGAGCCCTGGAGGGCAGGGCCAGCTGTCCCTTCTCTGAGCGCCCCACCAGATGGGGGAAGTTCTGCACGAGGGTGAGGGAATAAGTGGGCAGACAAACTCCACCTGCCGCCCCGGCCCCGGAGCGGGCGCCGCCTTCCACACCCCTTCAGCCGGCGTTTGGTGTCGGGCTCAGCTGGTTAAGGACCCCAGCTGTTCTCCGGAAGACTTACAAGGAGGATTATTCCTGAGTGCTTGCCACGTGCCGGGGATGGAGCCTGGCGGGGACAGACTCTCCTCTGTGTCCTCACAGTGACACGTAAAAGTAGTCACGGAGGCATGGGGGCGCGTGTCCCTGCCACACCCCCAGGAACAAGTAGAGCAGGACTCAGGACGTGGGCTCCCAGCATAATTAAATGCCCACGTTACCACCTGGATGGACACGGCCGCTGCAAAGGCCCCTACAGGTGAGCGGCAGGCAGGGGTGGGGCACAGGGAGCTCCCGAGGGAGGGCCGGGGGTGCAGGGCATCTGTGTGTGTGTGAGATTCTGCCCTTTCCCCCTCAGCCTGCAGTCAAGTTTTGCAAACACCACCCTTGCTCCCAGCTGTGCTCACAGGGTGTCAGAGAGGAGACTTTGCTTGGGGCAAAGGGGACACTGGCTGGGGGACAAATGCAGAGGAGCAGCTTGGCATTTGATGGCTGGCATAGGGTGGGCGGATAAGACAAGGGACGGGGGACAAATGTGGGACTTGCAGCCCCTCTGGGACCTCGCTGCTGAAGGGAAGCCAGCGAGCATGGGATGGGACTCCCTGACCGCTGGTTGAGCACTCGACCGACAGCCTTGTCCCCCAGCTGCAAGCCGACCTGACGCTGGGGCCCCAGCTCCCTCTGGAAGGCCAGTGTGCTCGCCTCCTGCCCGGTGGGAGCCAGACGCCCCGGGCATGGGAAGGCACCATCCCAAAGGATGCGGCGTGTTGCTGCAGGTGTGCGGCCATCGCCCCCAACCGCTCCCGCGGCCTTCATCTGTATGTTACAGAGAGGCTGTTATGGCTGCGCAGAGCAAAGCATCAAAGGGACTCGTAAAGCTCGTCTGATGATTTGGGGTTTAAAGCGCTGGAGGTGAGTTTTGGGCATTTTAGGCAGGAGGGAACAGCTGAGTGGGGAAGCTGAAGGAGACAGATCCCAGGAAAATTCCATGAGGGTTTTAACGGAGAAATAATCATTTCCTATGAAAGATAATGACTTCTCTGGAGGCTGGTATCAAGATTTATTGGCCCAAGAGGTTACAGGGATTGGAGCCAAGGTGAGACCTTGGAGGGAGTAATCTTGAAATTGAAGTCTTACCCCAGGTCAATATATCTGAGTGCCACAGCCCTCAGCTCTGCACATGTGACGTCGGCTGAGATTAAATGCATCCAACACCTTCGGTGGACGTACTCCCTCCTCCGGCCGGTCATTTTACAGCCCCATGCTCCCTGGATCCAGCTGTCACAGGAAGGCGAGGCCAGGGTTTTCATGAGTCCCCCTTGACCAGACTCCCTTCAAGGGCGAGGGGCCACGGGCTGAAAGATGACCCCAGGGGCACAACAGCCTGCTGGGCACCCCGGGAGGCCCTCTGTCCAGCTGCAGGCGTGGCCACACATCACGCAGAGCCGTCAGCCCCAGTCCATAGCGACCAGACCCGAGACTATCAAATTTGAGGCAAATCTGCAGGGTTTCGCTGTGGGAGATTTATGACCCTGCCAGACGTGTGTGTGTAAAATACATAATTCATCTCCCATGGCCTCGTAAAGCCAAAAGGGTCAGCAATGAATAGAAAAAAATTAAAAATTACAGGCTAATTTGTCAGAAAACTAGTAGGAAATCAATAAGAAAGCTGTAGTTCAAAATTTGTTTTGAAATTGTGTACTTGGAGAATGAACACACATTTTCCCCTGTGGACCCAAATTTCTTCTGTGCTCTAAGGTGGGATTGGGAATATCGGGGGGAAATCAGCGTGAACTCTCGTAGCTGGTGCTTCCCGGGACCGTGACCCTGTTCTCGGTGAGTTGGAGGTATGACGGAGGCTGGGCTGGTGAGCTGGTCCACCCAGATCTGAGAGTCGGCCCCAGAGGCTGGAGCCTGGTGAAGGGCTGTGGGGGCTCCTGCCTTCACGCAGGGACCCTGCAGTATTCTATGGGGTCTGAGAGGCAGCCCCTGGGAGCTTTGCCAGACCAGCTTTGGAGATGCCGCCCACTCAAAACTACAAGCGTATGAAAGTCTGGGTCTCCCCAGCGTCCATAAATGTAGTTAAGTGAATGAGTCCCTCTCCTAAAGCTGGATCAACAGCAGGACATTTTAAGCCAACACACCGTTTGCTTGATTCCCCGGCAAGCAGGTATTTTCCAATTTGAGAATTATAGATGGAGGATGGATGGCTGATATAGTTGATATAGGTAGACGACTGATAGATGATATAAATGCTGATAGATAACTAAATAGATGATAGATGAGTGATCATTGATATAGATGACAGACAGGCAGAAAGATTGCTGTAGGACGTTGGAAGTAACTTTCGAGAGATCCAAGCACAGTATAAGTGAGCCCCATCTCAAGAAATCCTAACCACATCAGAAGTTAGAAGCAGATCTGAAAGCTGCTTCCCTTTATAAAAGAACTGACTGTTGGGCTCATTGAAAAGCCACTTTTCCAAGTGCACAGACGATACAATCCAGGTCAAAAATACTGAAAATACTGAAATGAGAGACCCCCATCAGGACAAGTATGTTGAGAAGATACTGCATTGGTTTCTAGTGAATTCCCTGGAGCACAAGCTCAGATGTGCTCTCACGTTAGAACCAACACACACACTATCCAGCTTTCTGCTCATCCTGGGGAAGGCGCAGCACAGGCCCCCACTGTGGCCACAGACGACACTCAGGGAACTGGCAGACAGGATACCAGGGCCGGCCACTGTCCAAGTCTGTGCCCTGGCGCCTGTGCTTCTGCAGGGCTGCTCTGGGTGAGGGATGGGCTGGCTGCTGGCACCCCTCAGAGCCCATCAGCGGCTTGTGGGATGGCTGCTGTGGGTAGAGGTCGGTGCTGTGGTGGCCTGTCCTTCAGCCCGTGAAGGTCAGCCTCCCTGGTCCTTACACTGAGCCAGTCACAGAGCCACCCTGCCTGGCCTACTGAGGCCCCCGTCCCCGAGGGCCTGCACCCAGCGGTCTCGCCTTGTCCTCCCAGCTCAGCTTCTCCCCACTTCCTTCCCACAGGAAATCATCTTTATGCTTGAATCAACATTAACTTCCTGGACGCCTGCCTGAGTCTCATGCTGAGAGAGGCAGGCACTCTTGTCAGGGGACACCTGGAGGCCCGTGTGGCCCGAGGGACGTCCCTGTAGGAGCACCTCGCTCTGGGGCCCACGTGCCGAAGCCCTTGGAGCCCTCTGGGGCCTCGCTGCGTCGCAGAGGGCTCATTCGATGGCCAGCTGGGCAACGGACTCTTGTTTCTTCCACGAGGCATCCTGAGCACCCTCGGGGAGGCCAGGGCCCACCCACCCCCAGAGGACGGGCTGGAGGGTTGGCTGGCCACAGGTGAAGTGACCTTCTGCCCCTAGACTGCCACCTCCTCTGATCTGCACACAGGGGACACACACTGATCTCCCAGCCTCAAGTCATTGGCTGGACACCACGGAGGCACCAGGCCCTTGGCCTTCGTAAAGAAGCAGGCAAACATCTCCATGGATGGTTTCCCAATGAGGCAGAGCTGAGGTGCGCGTCAGTGCAGGCGTGACCCCAGACTCAGTACCTGGACTCCCCGACCCACCAAAGCCTCTCTCTTGGCCTTTGCTGAGGCCCACGGCACCCTGTCCTGGCACGTGGCCTCCAAGTTTGTCTGTGGGAGCTGCTCCTTGCCCAGCTCCTTGGGACCGTCTCCCTCAAAGCCGTGACCTCTGCACCTTTCTTGGCCAACCAGCTCGGGACGCACCTGCACATCCTTTTACCTTAATCTCTCTGGGTCAGGGCCAACGTCCAGTCGATGGCCCTGTATCAGATGGCCATCCGCAGGTGACTGCTCTGTATGGTGGCCCTGCCCAGGGCAAGTCCAGGCTTCCTGAAGCCCCCTGCCCCCCCCCCCAATGCTCACGCGTGCACACAGGCTCACACGCAATCACGACAACATCACAGACATCTGTGTCACCTGAGCACCCCCCCCCCATCTTCTCAGAAGTCCTGTCTCCCCACGACTGCCCAGTGGCCACCGTGTGAGCCCAGGCGACCCAGCTGGCACCCCC